CTATACAAAGCAATGAACAGGCTTATTTTTCTATTTTCATTTTTGTTTGATAGAAGAATTTTTTTCCTGTGGGGAACCAGTGATTTTTCTATGTACCCCCCCTCTCTCTCTCTCTCTCCAACTTCTCCCACAAGAGGGCGAAAGAGTCCATAACCCAGACAAGTGTTCACTCCTAAAGTCCCAGAAATGCCCAGCCTAACAGCTAGAAAAATCACTCCCACAGAGTGGTTCCCAAACCCTTTCTTCACCAAGGGCCTCTGTGTCACAGCTCTGTCGGCTTCCTTCTAAAGTGTCACCTAGCTAATCTGCCTGTGATAAGGAACAGATAGCTGTCACTCCCATGTTATAAACCAGAGATGCTTACCACTGCTCTTTGGTTATTGAGCCGAGGTATCTAGGGTCCCTAGTGTACTCTGTTCCTCTGCATTGACCAACAGCACAGCCAGGGACTGGTAATCAACAACATTCGTGAGCACTTGTTATGTGCTCGGCACTATACATTCAACCTGTTTTATCCGTACGGCAGCCCCAGTAGACAGGTTCCACTATTAGCATTCCGACTTTACAAGTGAAGAAACAGGCACCTAGAGGCAAGTCATCCCAGCAAAGCACTTGTCTGAGTCAGGATTCAAACCCAGGCAGTCAGGCTGTAGAGCTGTGTTCTAACCATTGTTCAGTCCTGCCTCTCTGAGAATTTATCTCCTGGCTCCTAGTCCAGTGCTTGTCCTGCTGGGTCCCCCGAGCTGGGAGAGGCAGGCAGAAGGAAACCCTAGTTGCATGGGACAGTAGGTAGTGGTGCCCTAGAACCCCTGCCCTATTTCCCGGGGGGTCTCTCGGTCTCTAGCCAGTTGCTCCTGGGTCAGCCCTGGGCTCTCTGAGCAGGTGGATAAGTCAGTGCCGGAGCCTGCAGATGAGGTGCCCACCCCAGGCGATGGGATCCTGGAGCATGACCTGTTCTTCTGCCCACCCACTGAGGCCCCAGCCCGAGACTTCCTGACTGACGCACTGGTCACCCTCCTGGTACCTCTGCTGGTGGCCCTGCTGCTTACCCTGCTACTGGCCTACATCATGTGCTGCCGGCGGGAGGGACGGTAAGTGTGGAGGGGACGGAGCAGGGAGGGCAGTGTGGCTGGTGTTCAGTCTGTGGGATTCTTTGTGGCACTTGTGCTGTGTGGGGACCCAGGCCCCTCAGGGAGTGGGGTACTCAGCCACGAAAGGAGTGAGAAGCCCCTTTCTCGGTGGCTCAGGCCTCGGGTCCTGCCTGGCACTGGCAGGGGATTGTGGATAACAGTTAATCCCTTCCATTGCTTTTCCACAGGCTGAAGAGAGACCTGGCCACCTCTGAGTGAGTAGGGGAAAGCTGGGGGCTGGGTGGGAGCCCCCCTGCCCTGTCAAGCTGGACCCTCCAACCTCCATGAGTAGCATACGAGTAGACAAGCCAGATGATTCTCGGATGATGGGGGCCATTCTTAGCCTCTAAACTCTAGCCCTGGGCTGGCTGGATGCTGGACCTGACCCATCCTGGCCTGGCCTTCTCGTGTTTTGGTCTCCATGGAAGAGCCTAAAGTGGGATGGGACGGGGAAGGGACCTGCCCAGGCTTTAGAGGCCTGCTGCCACTCTGGGGAAAAGGATTTGAGAAGCAACTTAAGAGCCTTTCAGCACCCACCCACCCACATACACTTTGCTGTGAGTCAGGCACTTGGCTTCCAGGCGGGGTTCTGTCACACAGCTACTATGACCCTTTCTGGCCTTGGTTTCTCCACCTGTGATGTGGTTGGACTAGCTAATGCATGTAGATGCTTTCAGTTCCCCCCAGCTCCTCCCAAATTCATCTCACCCTTCTTTTGCCTAGGTTTCCCCCACCCTTGGCCTTAGCCCTCCTCCATACTCTAGCCCTCTTCCTTTCCCACTCCCTTGAACCCCAAAGATTCCAGGAGGCAGGTGTTAAATAAGTTACGCTCCTTTAATTCCCACTGTGTGGAGCCTGTGGTAGGCCTGGCCCTGCTGCCTGCTTGCCTCATTAATTGCGGCGGTATTTGGCCACCCTGCGAGCCCTCCTGATTAGCCACTTGTGTCCCCGTTTGGAGCTCAGTGGCAACCTGCGCTGCCCAGACCGGCGCTGCCCAGACCGGCGCTGCCCAGACCGGCGCTGTCCAGACCGATGCTGCCCAGGTTGCCGCCGCTGCTTCTGCTGCTGTCTCTTGGTCTTGAGCTTGAACTGGGAGGCGTGCTTCTTGTCCATGCGGAAGGAGCCTAAAATCCCCCTGCCAGTCACCTGTTTGAGTATGCCCTTGTCCACCAGCCCTTTGAGCACTCGCTTGAAGCGCCACCCATTGCGGGTCATATTGTAGCCTGCGGTGGTGAGAGCATTCCTCAGGGTGGTCAGGGACACGCGACCGTATGCCCCTTTGTCTGCCATAACTCCCAGGATCACCTTGAATATGCTGGGCTTCCGAGGGGCTTTGAGGCAGGCGAGGCACCCAATCTCTCTCTTGCTAGGGACTTCTGACACACTGGCCTGCTGACATGCACCCAGGGCACTGTTTGAGGCTGAGGGCACAGTTGCGGGTGGCAGTGAAGTGTCTTTCTGCATCTCTCCCTGGGGTGGGTGAAGGGAACTGGATACGAGGACCTCCAGGATGGCTGCTGGAAATCTCCACTGGGTTGCTCCTTGGTGGGTGAGGTGTGTCCCACCCAGTTCCTGGTTTCCCTCAGGGGCTTCCTCGTAGGGCCTTTCCCTGGGTGACCAGGAGGAGGATCAAGGATGATCACCTACAGCTGGCCTCAGCAGACTTGTGACTCAGGTGCAGAGGGTGGTAAGGTTATCTCTGTGGTGACCTCAGGAGGACATTGTGAGGCCACCAGAATCCTGTGAGGGTCACAGTGGTCCCATTGTTCCCTCCTGGAAGGAGTGGATAGGAGATACAAGATAGTGTAGGCACCTGACATGCCAGGCATGCTGGGAAGAAGAGCTGTGGCTGTGTGGGCCAGATAGGTGGTCCCACAGGTGTGTGCATGCACACATATGTATGCACACATATGTATTCATGTATATGCATGAGCACCAGCTGATTTTAGGGTGTTCTGAGACCCCAGTTTTTTGGGGTTTTTTTTTTTTAAAGATTTTTATTGGGGAATTGGGGGATGGGAACAGTGTTGGGGAATCGGGGAAGGGGAACAGACAAGTTGCTGTCCTTTTGTTCTTCAGTCTAGTTGTGGAGGATGTCGCTTCACTGGCCCAAGTTGGCACCATCATTGCGCTCTTCCCGGGAGAGGCAGATCAGTCGCCGGTTTCTGGACGGCCGCTCATGGCGGCTGCTGGCCGCTCACGCTGGCTGCTGTCTACACACGGTAGCCCATGGCAACCCACTGCAGCAGAGGCTGCAGCTTACCCCGGGCCAGGGACTCATGGCAGCCCAGCTCCAGGTTGAGCTGTTGTTCAGCATCTTAGCTGTAGAGGGCAGTATCACTGGCCCTCATATGTGGGATCCGAGCCAGGGCCCTCTGGCATCCCAAGCCAGCTCTTAACCAACGCGCCACTCGGCTGGCCCCTGAGACCCCAGTTTTAAACCCACCATTTTGACCTTACCATCTCAACCCACTGGGCTGAGGCATACAAACATTTTTAGAATCAGAATTATACCAACATTTACGAATGTTTATGGGGAATAAATTTCCAGAATGAATAGAATATAATTCCTTGATCTATGTAAGTTGATTTAATTCATTGATCAACTTTCTATACAAAGCAATGAACAGGCTTATTTTTCTATTTTCATTTTTGTTTGATAGAAGAATTTTTTTCCTGTGGGGAACCAGTGATTTTTCTATGTAAATTTTATAAGGAGGATTTTTTTTAAATATTTTTTTATTTGGGAATTGGGGAAAGGGAACAGTGTTGGGAAGTTGGGGAAGGGGACCAGCCAAGTTGTTGTTCTTCAACCTTCGTTGTGGAGGGTGCCAGTAGCCATCTGGCTTCCCATCGGCAGCTCGTGGCCTCTAAGCTCAAGGTGTTGTGTTCAATCTTAGTTGCAGGTGGGTGTAGCCACCATCCCATGCAGGAGTCGAACCAGCAGCCTTGTTGTTAAGAGCATACGCCCTATCCACTGAGCCATCTTGGTGGCAGCTCAGCTCAAGGTGCCGAGTTCAGTCTTAGTTGCGGGTGGGCATAGCCCACCATGAACAGGCAATCTTGTTGTTACACCAGCTGAGCCCTCCTGCCACCTGTTGGCAGCTCAGCAACACCTCAGCTCGGGTGCAGCGTCACTGGCCCACGTGGGAATTGAACTGGTGGCCCTGTTGCTCAGAGCCTGTGCTCTTAAGCCAACTCTTAACCAACTGAGCCACTTGGCTGGCCCGAGGAGGATTTTATTCCTCAATTCTTTTGGCCTGTGCCAAATTTGATCAATTATGCCTTCTGCCATTGTGATTGTGGATATTCTCTTCTGACCAGTTATCTCCACCGCATCCAGCTTTCTTGGGTCAGTTTTGTGGTTCCGATGGTGTCAGGGAAATCCACTTCCTCCCTCAATTTTGAATCAATAACCAATTTTACCATGTGTGATATTAGCTCTTGTTGGTGTAGATTTTGTGTTGAGCTATTTCTACAAACTCTTTTTTTGTGTTTTGCTTGTTCATTGCCTACCATTTTTAAAATTATCTACAACTTATGATTCTGCAGCCCTCTTTTCACCTACGTCAGATTTTACTGTTTGGAAAGTCCTACAGGCTCAGCAGCCATCTCCTGTGGTCCATGTGCCAGAGCAGGGCTCCAGGGGCTGTGTGCTGGTGGCGGAGTGCGCATGTGCGCGCGCGTGCCTGCCCATTCCTTCGTTTGCCCAAGTGCTGATGTGGAAGGACTGTGAAGGAAGGCACCTTGGTTCTGGCTTCTGCTTCTGCTCTGGAAAAACATCCCCAGAACATTTCTCCACCTGTGTGTGTTGCCAGAGTAATGAGACCCAGATGTGAGGCTGGCGGTGGGGAGAGGGCCCATTAACTAAGGCCTTTCACGCACAGGGGCATCACCTGCCTGGCTGCCCCCAGCCTTCAGCATTCACACGCTTCTTGCTCCCTTTCCCCCTCAGCCTCCCCTTTCCTGGGAATGGAAAATTGCGTTTTGGACAACTCTGCTTGCCAAATTCCAGGCTCAAAAGCTCATTTTGACCCTCCCCTTGCCTTAGAGGCTGACTCTACCTCCTCCTGCCTATCAGACAGCACTGGGTCCTACTCACCCCAGGAGGAGTGTGGCCCATTCAGCATGAAGCTGGGAATTCCTTCCTGTAATCTAATCTCTCAGCTCTACCTGGAGTCTGTGTCCACTAATTGAGGCGTGGACATGGATGAGGATCAGTGGTCCTCTCCCAGTTGATCCCTAGTTGCAGGTAGGATTGCTTCCACCCTGCCTGAGGCCCCGCTTCTTTAAGAAAACCAATTCTTATTTGTGATGAAAAGTCTGGGCTATGTCAGACCTGGCAACCAGGTAGTCTGGAAAGATGTCCCCAGGCTGCACCCCACAAATGTGGGTGGGTTTGTGTAAAAGGGCCTGGAATCATGCTTCCATTGGAGGCCAAGTCATCAGGCCTCCCTCTGCTAGAGGCCAACTGGGCCTACCATAAAAAATAATACCAGTGCTAATAATAGCAGCTGAAGGCTCCCTGTACTAATAGCTACTACTTGCTACATGCTGACCAGGAGATATTCTGAGTGTTTTTCCTGTATTAACTCATATTTAATTCATACAACAACTGCACTATAGTTGAGGGACCGGCAGCACAGAGAAGTTAGGTAACTTGCACAAAGTCACACGGCCCGTAAGCAATGGAACCCAAAGCAAGTCTTCATGCTTAACCATTGGGCTACCCTACTCCTCATATTGAACTAAAGCTTGCCTCTGGACAGCAGAAAGCAAGCCCATGAGAATATCAAATGAGAATGAGTCTGAGCCCTCTGAGGAAAAACTAGAACTAGAGTTCAGGAAGCACTTCACAAGGGGTGGGCTGTCAGTTCACTCAGCTGCTGGGATTTTAGGCCTGTTGAGGTTGGAGACTGGTGCAGGCCTCAAGAAGCCTTGGTCTGAAACAAAGACAGAGAAACAAGACTCATTGTCTACGCTGGGGGCTGACTGGGGTGGGTTGGGAGGGCTCAAGATACAAAGGGGGAAGAGGACAGGTCTGAGGAGCCAAAGGATGAGACGGTCAAGGCCTGGAAGGACACGGGGAAACAGCTTGGGCAAAAGACAGGAGGTGGGAAAAGGTGGAGGGTATAGGTTTGCCAGACTAAGACAGGGTTGGGGTAGGGGATGAGAAATGGGTGATCAGTGGTGGAAAAGAGTATTAGGGGAGGGAGCTGAGTGCGAGAAGGGACTTTGAGGATCTTCAGAATATAAAAACAGAAAATAAAGCCCAGTAAATGCTGACCTCTGGAAATATATATCCACTATGGGTATCTATTCATGTCTTAGTGTCTCAAGAACTCTTACCATGTACCAGGCAAGTTTCTAAACACCCATTTCATCTCCACAACAATCCTAGGAGGTAGAATTGTTAGCCCCATTTCACAGGAAACTGAGGCATAGAGTGGTTAAGCAACTCGTGAAGGACACACAGCTGTGAATCAATGCTATTTGCACCTGGAGCCCATGCCTCAGTCACTGGGCACTGAGCTGGCACTGTAGAACTCCCTGTTTGTCCTCCCCTCACCCATCAGGTGTGTGAGTCTCCTCCCACATAACAGGTAGGGAAGACTGTAGGGGGGCTCAGAGGCAGTGCCAGGCTGCACCCCAAAGCAGTGGGGGCTGACTCCCAGAGCTGATGACTCTGCTGGCCATGTGCTCTCAGCATCCAGATGGTCCACCACTGCACCATCCGTGGGAACACAGAGGAGCTGCGACAGATGGCAGCTAGTCGAGAGGTGCCCAGGCCACTCTCCACCCTGCCCATGTTCAACGTACGCACAGGAGAGCGCCATCCTCCCCAAGTGGACAGCGCCCAGGTGCCCCTCATCCTGGACCAGCACTGAGGGCCTGCCCAGGTGGGTCCAGCTGGGCAGCTTCAGCCTCATTTTTGGAAACAAGGTGGCCTCTGTCTCAAGGCTGGAGCAGGTGGTGGGGGTTGGGGAAGGTCCATGGAAGGGCACACAGACCTGCCCAGTCCGCTGAGGCAGCAGTGGGAGGGGTGTTCAGCAGTGCCAGGGCTATATCCCCCAATGCCAAACACTCAGGGTCAGAAGGTCAGGGTGGGGAAGGCAGAAGAACCAGGGCCTGCACCTCACAGACCCCCACTCTTTCTTTTCTCTGCTGTTCCAGCTCCAGCCCTTGCCTCATCCTCCCTTCTCCCTTGACTCGAAGAGTAGCCACCACCCAGAGTCACATCCTTCTTCCTGATTCTGGCTTGGCTTGGTGGATCCCAGGCTTGGAACAAGCAGAGATGGAGGTGGGGCAGGGTGAGAGTATTTGGGGTAAGGGTCCCCAGAATAAATACCTGCCATTCTGTTCATCTATTGCTACCAGCGCCTTTGTCTCAGCAGCCTCCCCCCAGCCCTCATTGCCTCTGTTTCCCTTTCTGCCTTCTGAGGAGCCCTTAGGGGCAGCCAGGGGCTGCCAGCCTGTTCTTTGGACTCTTGGCCATTTTTCTGTTTTCTCAAATTCTCTGGAAGAAAGAGGGACCTGCTGTATGTGGCCCTGATCTAAATCCTCGTGTGAACCTGATGGTGAGAGATTACTGGATCATTTTATAGACAAGGAAACTGAGGCCTAGGGAGAATAAGTGACAAGATCACAGAGCAGGCAAGTGGCAGAGCTTGGATTCAACCCTGGCATGTCAGCCTCCACACTGCCTTCTGGAGGGTTGAGAGCTTCTGGAAGCAGGAGACCGAGGTTACCTGCCCAGATCACCCTGGAAGGAGAGCTCCTTTGTTGGTCATGTAGGGAGAGAATCCAACCTGGATATGGAGAGAAGGGTTGGGTTACAGGACCTTGACTGCCCAAGCTCAATGCCCCCTTCCTGGTGGGCTCCTCCAGGGGCAGGACGGAGGTGTCACCAGCTTGGCTTGGTCCCCATGTGAGCCCTGGAGAGCTCAGCTGGCCAGGAAGAGGCCTGAGCTTGTTTCTCCCCCATGGCTACAACCAAAGTAGGCTGCCATCCTGAGCCACACTCAGTCTCACATCTGACTGCTCCCTTGGATGGACAAGCTGGAGAAGAGACACAGAGAAATGAGGGAGCAGAAGAGCAAAGACTTATGGCCCAGATCCCAGGCCCTGGCTCCATGTGGCAATTCCAAGAGAAACAAAACTAGGGCAGGACATCAGCCAGATGTCCCTGGGCCTGTAAATCCCTTTTTGAGTTCTCTGAACCAAACCTGGGACCCACCCCTGTCCTAGAGCTGACCCTCAATCATCCTTCCCCAACCCTCCCACATCCCACCTGGGGATGGTGGGCTGGAAGATGATGGGGATGTGCAGGGAGTTCTCCCTCACCTGAGACAGGGGCTCAGGCTTGGGGATGATGGGTTGGGTGAACCAAGTGGGGTAGCCCTCTGTTTAATGGTGGTGGCTCCTGGTCCAAGGATTCCTGAGGAGGGCTGAGTCTCTGAGTACTATGTCCCATGATCAGAAATGAATATACAAGGGAGTCATGAAGCCCAAAATTGTCCTTAGACCCTTTTCCCCTTTTTCTCCCCAGAATCCCCACCTTCACAATATGTCTTGAATCCATCCCCTTCTCACAGCCCCCACTCTAACCTTCCCAGTCCTGCACCAAAATCTTGCTCCTGGATCGCTGCAACAGCATCCCCGTGCCTCCCTGCCTCTTCCCTGCTTTGCCAGTCTCCTCTCCAACAGCAGCTGGGCCCCTTCTTTAAAAGGGAAAATCAAGGAGTCTCGCTCCCCTGCTCTCAACTCTGACCAGGTGCACTGACCCTGTCCACCTCTCTGACCTCAGCACCCTGCTGTCTCCTCACTCAACTGCTCCAGCCACACTGCCTCCTAACACACTCCCGTTTCAGGCCTTGGCCTCTGCTGTTCCCTCTGCCAGGAACCCCAGCTCCCCCAAATCCACACAACTCCCTTATTACTGTGATCATTTTGGTCTCTGCTCAAATGGCAGCTCCTCAGGAAGGCCATCCCCCTCCTCAAAGAGCCCCCTCCGACAGGCTTTTGGAGCGCCCGGCACACCACGCCTCGCTCTCTGAGAAGATATGAGGATTGATAATTAAGTTCAAGAACTCATCCTAGAGAAAGTGCTACATACCTCATTGCTGAATATCACTATGGTCACCTTCGAAGTACTCCCCTTGGGAAGCGATGCACTGATGCCAGCACCTAGTCCACCCTTCAAAGCAATTTTGGAGCTCTTTTTTTCTGGAATGGCTATCAGAGCTATTGTCGTATTATCTTTGGTGTCCTGAATGTCATAAAAATGTCTTCTTTTCAATATTTCCTTTATCTTCGGGTAAAGAAAGAAGTCATTAGGGGCTAGATCAGGTGAGCAGGGAGGGTGTTCCAATGCAGTTATTTTGTTTACTGGATAAAAACTCCCTCACAGGCAGTGCCGTGTGAGCTGATACATCGTCGTGATGCAAGAGCCATGAATTGTTGGTGAAAAGTTGAGGTCGTCTAATGTTTTCATGCAGCCTTTTCAGCACTTCCAAATAGTAAACCTGTTTGTCCAGTTGGTACAAATTCATAATGAATAATCAATCCCTCTGATATAAAAAAACGTTAACAATATTGTTGTAACAAGTTCACAAACTTAATTGTCAAACCTCATATGTTTCCTGCCCTAGATTTCAGTTCCAGGATGTAGGATTCTGTGTGCCCCCAGGGGGCATGATGCCTGCACACAGTAGGCACTCTGGAAAGATGTTCTGAAGTAATGCATGAAGGGAGGCCATTAGTCTGGGTTGCTCAGAGCTTTTAAGGAGATTGTTCCTCCCTGGGCAAAGAGGATGAGCAAGGCCATTGCTAACACTTCTACCATTATGTTCTGGTCCCCCTTCCTACTGGACATCCCACACCCATTAGTTTTAGTTAATCCCACAAGCATCTTTGGAGGCCAGCACAGGCTCAGTGTTGGCACAGTGTGTGTGCTCGGTAGATGGCTATTGACAGAGTGGTTCTTTGGGTACCCACACCCCGCAACCACATGGGTTCTCTAGCAAGTGGGTGCCTCTGACTTCTCATTTGCAATTTTCTCATTTCCCTGGTGGTTCCTCATCTGGCCGAAGCCAGGAGTTCTACAGAGTCTGCTCAGATTAGAGGTTTGGAGCAACCAGCCTACAGTCTGGGGTGGCTCCTCCTTGATCCCTGCCCCCTTGAGGAGGGGGCTGCCTGCTCCCTGTCTCTGCGTTCCCACCTCAGGCCTCTGTGCTCCTATTGTGCTGGCAAAGGTTGGGAGAGTTCAAGGCCAGCCCCTGTCTTCCCTCTGCTTCCCAGCTTTGCCTTGGGATCTTGGCAGCGCCTTCCTCCCCAATCAACTCCAAGGAGCACACGGAAGCCTGGCGGCCAGCCTGGGAGGAAGTGGCCCAGACAAGTAGCTGGGAGGATGGCGTGACTGTAGAGGACACCGAGCCGTGCCTGGGCACACATGCACGCATACCCAGCCGTCCCTGGCAGCACAGGGGAGGGCATGGAAACACTCAGCCCCACCCTACTCACTGAGGGGTGAGATTCCACTGGGCACTCATACCCCGCTGTGCCCAGCCAAGGACAAATAGCCAAAATGTTTCCCTACCTCCACCCTGAGATTCCACCTCACACCCCACTCCACCCTTCGCTCCTGCTGTTCCACAGCCAATACTGTCCACATGGCCCAGTGAGTGGCTTCCACCTTCACCCTAAACAGAGCCCCCCCCCCGCCCCCATGTGTCCTGACTCTAGACATTTCCTTACCACCACCTCTCAATTGGTGAGGAGGATCTCTGCCAGACATGGGGACATGGGACACCACCTACAGCTGGCCACTTACCCACCTGCAAGCTCCTCCCTTGTTCTTGAAACACCCCCCCCGCCATTTCACAGAGAGTGCCCTTGGTGCATTTGTTGGGGTTTGGGGTCAGATTGAGCAGGGCTCAAATTGCAGCTGTAACACTTAGTTTACTCATGGACGGTTCATCATAACTGCCTCGGGCCATTGAAGGATTTGTGAGGACCAGTCAAGTGCCTGGCCCCTGGCAGCTCACTAATGGAGACATGATTACATACAACCACTCGCTTGATCGCCCCCAAACCAGAGGTCCACGGGGTCTCCCTGCCTCCTAAGATCCAAGTGAAGTGGGCTCAATTTCCATTCTGAGCCTTGTGAAGAGTTCAAGCTCTCCCCATGAGTTTGGGGTGGGGGCTGAAATTCTCACGCTCCTGGGCACTGGTCTTCTGCCCACTGCTGTGCTGTCTGCTAAGGCAGCTGCTGGCCACCTGAGGCCACCGAGCACTTGAAATGTGGCCAGTTCAAATTGAGATGGGCTGCAAATGTAACAAAAGTCATAATATTGAGGCATATATTGGGTTAAATAAAATATACTATTACAATTAACTCCACCTGTTTTATATTTTTATTATGGCTGCTCGAAAATGAAAATTACTTATGAGACTCATGTTCTATTTTTATCGGGCAGCGCTGGTTCCATGGCATTTCCTTTATCTCCACGCTGTATTGACCCAAACCCAGCTCTCAGCCCCCTTCCCTGGCTTCCTCCAGAGCACCTGCTCACGCCGCCGGGCTTTTGTGTTGTGCATCAGAGTTTTCTGAAGCCTTGGGGAGCGGGAGGGATCGCCCCACAGCAGTCAAGTCGCATGAAACTTGATTATGTGGTCTCTTTGTGGTAAAATGTGCTTTGATCTCATTCACCTCATCTTTCTCTTCCTCCCACTATCTTATGCAGAGAAAACCCCACTTTCTTCAGCACCTGCGTGGACCAAACTCGCCTCCCTCCCTGGGCCTTGCCATGTGTGTCCTCTCCAAAGCATTGAAACCTCCTTGTGTGAAAGGGTTTGATTACCCTCCTAGACAAGGGCCAGGCTTCTTCCAGGGTCTTGCCTCTTGGTTCGTGGACATCTCTCAGCTCTGCTTTGTACCCTCCGGAGCATACACCAGGAAGGGGACACAGAGACACAGTCGCTCACCAGCACTAGGACTCCACTGGCCCTAGGACTTTAGGACAGTGGTCCCCTCGCCACCCAGCCTGTCCTAACACTTCCTACCCTCCTTCCTGTTCTACCCACCCCCATGCATCCTCACCACACAGACAGACCCTCTGTTCTCTGTCATGCCTATGCACACACGTCCCAAATGCTAGACCCATACATTCGCAGTTCACACAGCGTCTTTTCTGCTGCCATGTGTGTGTGGAAGCTGTCCCCACATATACAGACCCCCCCATCCCCCACACACCCTCACATGTTTAGGGTCCCTGCGAACACAGACACATTTGCTCACGGGTAGATGGACACCCAGAGAGTGACATTCTCATCCGCACAGGGAGGGCTGGGCTGGAACCACCTCACCCAATCACATAGCCTCCCACACTCACGGCCACCGTGCAGCCTCCTCCTGGGGGTCCTGGCTTTGAGAGCAGCCCCATACTCTCCTGTTCCACACACTCTGCACGCCCCTCACCTGAGGCTCTTACACTCCAGCTAGGAAGTCCTCTCCTTAACCTCACCCAGCTCCGTCCAGGTAAGTCTTGGAGGCATCTGGGAAGCTGAGGGTTAAGGAGCTGGGGAGAAAAAAAAAAAGGAAAATCCATCGTATTTTGGTCTTAGAAAATCCTGCCAGGAGATGGGCTCACCCCATAAAAGGGACCCAGGATTCTGAGAGAGCAGCAAAAGTTAAAAATCCAAACGAAGCCTCCTTCCTCTTTAGAGTTTTCCATCTTGATCTGACTGAAAAATCATCGATAGGAGAGTGGCCCATCTCCTCAGAGAGAAGCAAAGCTGGGTCCCTCAGAGAAGCATTGGGAATGGCCGGCGCTGTGCCACCACGCAGGGGGCAGCAGGGTCTGGGGGAGTGGGTCTAGGCAGCTGTATTTAGGGCAGTTGTGATGTCAGCAGAAAGGAGGGCTTGAGTTAGGAATGTGGTACAATGGCCCCTTTGTCCCCCTCCTCTCCCGTCCTGCAGTCCTGCACACACACTGGAGCCCCATTCTGGCTTCACACCACGTGATATGCCACGGAGCTGCACAGCAGGGCACTGCCACCACCACAGCCCTGACGTGCGGTGTCACCTCATGTGCCCTTGTACGTGCATGAGCGCGTGCGCGCGCGCACTTGCGCGCGCGCACACACACACACTCATGCACCCACAGGTAGATTTGTACATATGTCGTGAGAAGCATATTCACTCCTTTGCCTAAAACTGCGGTGCTCAGTATGGTAGCCACCAGCCACAGGTAGCTATTAAAGTTAATTACAGGTAAATAAAATGTTAAATTGAGTTCCTCGGTCGCACTATCCACATGTCAAGTACTCCGTAGTCACATGTGGCTAGTGGCTGCCATACGGACGGCACAGATGGAGTACAATTCTATCGCTGCGGAAAGCACTGGCCTGGAGCCTTGCACGGCTGTTTGCTCCCGCATGTGCCCTGGTTTGCACGCGCTCTTCCTGTCACACTTGCTCACTCCTGTTCACGAAGGCACACACAGCTCCACCTTCTCACCGAGGAGGCATGTTTTTCTATCTCTCCGGGTTTCCAATATCTATGCACGGCACCTTGTGCCGAGCCCTGCTTTGCAGCCCCTGGCCTCTGGCCTTAGTCAGCTCAGCCTGGAGAAGATAACAGGGTGAATGCATGACAGCGTGCAATGAAACAATGTCTAGTATTAAGGCAAGAATTTTGTAGACATGAAGGGCTTTGGAAAGTCAGAGGGGACAAACTTGGCCTGGGTTGGGCAGGAGAAGGAGGGGACGTGAGCACTTTGAGCGGGGCCTGGAAGGTGGGGTTGAGGAAGCAGAGATAAAGGATGTCACTTCTGGCAGAGGAAGAGGCAAAAAGAAAGGCCTGGAGGGGGGAAGTGTGGTGCATATTGGGGAATTGCAGTCACCCTTTTTGGCTGGTGTGCAGGTGTGAGCAGGAGCGGGGACGGGGAGATTGGACAGGTGGGTAATGGCCAGGTAGAGCCTTGGATGCCAGGATACTTCTGGGTCCTTCATGGGGGCAGGTGGTGGTGCGGGGGGAGCAAGTGAGACAGTCAAGGGCCCCAGAGGGCCAGAGGGCCAGGGAAATGTGGGTTATCACGCAGGTGTCAGGCAGGATCACCAATCAATCAATGGATTGGCCAACTGATCACCACGTAATTTGCATATGAATAAGCCTCCCTTTAACATGTCACAATTTCTTACCCTCTGTAGACTAATTCCCTTTCTACACTTTCCTGATTGTGGCAGAAGTGCTAATGATGAATTATTAAAGGCCATAATGAATAGCCATGACTATTTAATGACAGCCAGACTATGAGTATTACAGATACTCATACAGTCTGGCCTCTGCAGACTTCTTCATCTCTCTGTAGACCCGGGGGAGGTACATGGGCCTTTCCTGCCTTTGAGGTTTAGGCCCTAATACCTTGGGTGGGAGGCAGGGACAGCTGTCAACCTCTCCCTGTCTCTGGGTCTCTGGGCACCTGGTCTGCTCCAGACTTCTGACTCCCTGGATCCTCTATGTCCCTGCTGACTGCACACTGCTGTCCCCCTTTCTTGAGATTGGGGAGCAGAGTGTCACCTTCCCCCTGGGGGCCTCAGGGTCTCAGGCAAGCAGGGAGGGGGCTGGCAGAGGAGGAGGGGGAAAGGAGGGGAGAGGAAAACAGGAGGAAGAAGCAAGGGTTTTTAAGAGAATAAAGAATAGGCAGGGGACAGGGTCTGGGCAAAATGACCTCCCCAGACCACCCCACGCTCAAGGGGTCTCATGTTTTTGGTGCCTTGGAAGGCCAAGAGAGACCAGTATATGCTCAGCAGGGTTGGGACCTGTCACCTTCCTGATAGCATCCTGTAAGGGCCTTGACTTTAGCTCCCCAAGGGCCCTGAGGAGATTCTCCTGAGGGCTGGGCAGACTCCCTCCCTTGTTCCCCTGGGAGCCCAGCAGAGCCAGCAGGAAGTATTTCATCCTCCAGCTCTCCTCAAAGGCCCTCAGGGCACGCTCGGGGGCCCCTTCTTGTGCTGTGTTGCTCCTTTGGAGGAGCTCCAAGAGGGCCAGCAGGGAGGAAGCCAGGTGACTCTTCATGTTTGCTCAGGGTGAGGCCTTGCTGAGGGCGCCCAGGTACCCTCCTTAGTCAGTCCTACCCCCCTCACCAGGGCATGGGCCTCCCAGTGCCCCATGGGCAGTGCCTTCCCATGTCCCCCAACCCTGCAGGGTGCCCACAGCAGTGGAGAGGACATCGAGAGGTGATGGCACTGATAGGAGAAGGGGCATGAGGTTTGGGCAGCCAGGATCTGAAGGGAGAGGTGTGTGTGCGCGCACGTGCGTGTTGCTGCACATGTGGTTGCCTGTATGTACTGTAAGGAAGAAACAGGTTTGGGAGACATGCAAGGAAGAGTACATGAGAGAGGAGACGATGGGTTAAAGCATGAGAAAGGCAAGAGGACGGGGGTGCGACCATGGAGGGTGCTAGATGGGAAGGAGGAGGACTGAAGGGGCAAGAAAAGAAAAGAAGAGCCCACCCCCCCAAACCCCAGCTCCATCCCCAGTTTTCCCCTCCCCCGCTACCCTCCACCCGTATTCCAAGGAAGGAAATTAGGAGGCCACTGCAGATATGTTTGGGTCATTTCCACATGCTTTATTTCAGCAATCAAAATAATTAAAAACATCTCAAATTATTATACACATACAAAATAGGTACAGAGTCTCTTGCTTCCTCCCACCCCAGGGGGAAAAACTGCTTTGTGCTTTGGGAAGTTTGTGCTCTGAAACCCAGGAGAGAGGACGCAGGACAGACTAAGAGAAAGGCGTGAGGATGGGAGGCAGCTGAGGAGGGGGTTTCAGAGAAGAGAGATCTGGAGAGAGAGAGGCCTGAGCTGGCCAGAGGCAGCCAAGAGGGTGGAGAGAGAGGGGCGCTGTCTGGAGCCCCAGCACTCTCTCCCCCAGGTTAAATAGCACCTTTAGAAAATTCACATGAGTCCCCATCCACAAGAAAAAAAAAACACCAAAGAATTAAAAAAGACTTTGAACAAAAAGGAACATTTGCTGGCCTGGGGGGGCGGGGGGGCGGGGGGCGTCTCAACTTCTATAGCACCAGTGATCCCCACGCCACCCCATCCCCACCCCATCACAGAGATGTAGCACCTTTGATATAAAATGGGGAACCCCTTCCACCCTGCCCGCATCCCGCCCCCATGCAGTTGCACCGGTGACACATATAGAGGTAGTCTTTCAGCAACACAATTACACAAGGAACAGAGCAGTCTCTCCCAGCCCGCCCTGTTGCGCGGGAATTGACATGTTTCCACTCTGTCACGGCCCCTCCTGACTTTCCTCCAAACCCGGCAGAGAGGGGCCAGTGGTCCCCTGGCATGCCCCCCTCAAAAAAACGAAGGGG